AGGGTTAATCCATTTGACCTAATCAATATCTGCCTATTCATAAAATATGTGATATTTTACATATTTACATAAAGTATAGTATAAAAATATGTTTATGTAAATTTATAAAACTACTCCTTGTAGGCTACTTGTAGGCTACTTCTACTAAAACTGCTTACGTAAGGGAAAGTTCACAAAAGAAATGAATAGTTGTACATAAAATAACAGTAAATAAAACAATTATAAAGCAAAACCTGAAATGCATCTCTACTTTTTTTTTAAGGGGGGGGTGGGGTACACAAGTTATAATCATGATTTCTATGTTTGCCACAGTATGAGCGCACCGTGAGTGTGCAGTGACCTCACATTGTGACCACAGTATGAGAGCACAGTGAGTGTGCAGTGACCTCACATTGGGAGCATAGTATGAGCACACAGTGAGTGTGCAGTAACCTCACATTGGGAACATAGTATGAGCACACAGTGAGTGTGCAGTAACCTCACTTTGGGAGCATAGTATGAGCACACAGTGAGTGCGCTGTGTGGTTACACTTTTAGCTCACTGTGACACACAATTCCACCGCTTTAAGACAAATGGATTTGTTGTGTTTTCATATTCAAGAGATTATAAGCAAGATACAACTTTTTGGGGGGGTTTGCATCGAATTTTACGCATGATAAATTTGTTTATGAATAAAGATTGATCTGTTGAAAGCAGTTATTTTGAGTTAGATGCCAAAAGTTCTCCTCCTATTCAAATTTGACATTGAAGTGGTGTATACAACATATTTGCCCACCGGCAAATATAGCTGCCGCACATTCAAATACAATTTTCAAGAAAGAAAAATAAATGCAGAACATGTTCACATATGACACTATTAACATGACTATATGCATGAAACCATTCAGAAAAATTTGGGCACAAATGGGTTAACAAATATGCTATATGCATTTAGCTTACTATGTCACAATACAACGATGTTGCTTCACTGAAGTATAGTAGAAAATAGGTAGCGTAGTCTCGTAGAGTAAAATGAATGTCTGGACAGGTTTTTTTTATACAGTAATGACATTGGGTTAATTCATTTCCTGAAAATAATGTAGCCTAACGTTTCTGAATATCTTAATAGCCCTATACACATATACGTAATTTTCATTTTGAAAAATATTGTTTATATATCTATTTTATTTTATAATTTTTTGTTTATTTTACTTCATTTTATTTGCTTTATTTTTTTAATTAACTTTTATTTCTTTATTTATTTATTATTTTTTTTGAGAGTTCCTAGTATTTATTGGGAGGCTTCTTGAGATTTACCTTTTTTGGTTGACAGATGACATTGTGGAGAACATTTTTATTTGTGTAGTGTTTACACACGTAATTCCGCAGAACTGCGCTCGATTTTTTTTTTATAAATTATGATTTGTAAATATGAACATCTTGAAATAATACATTGTCCATTAGGGGGCGACACGCTTCGCATAGATGCAACAATTTGCGGTTGAAAACGATACAGATCATTTGTTTGCAGG